TGTACTTTGGTTGTGCTCGATAAATATGGCGTAGAGCGCTGTGAAAAAGATAAATAGTTAGGACATCATTAGGGAAAAAGAAATCTAGCAAATGATCAAAAGGCTTACATTTATTATAATAAAATTTCATCTGGTGGAGGTTCCATTGATATTTGTATTAACGGTTTCATTTTCCGTGTTAGCGGTTCCATTATCATTTGTGCCGGTGGTTCCGTTGTTATCTGTGTTGGTGGTTCCGTTGTTATCTGTGTTGGTGGTTCCGTTGTTATCTGTGTTGGTAGTTCCGTTGTTATCTGTGTTGGTAGTTCCGTTGTTATCTGTGTTGGTAGTTCCATTATTTGCCGGAGAGGAGTGAGGTTGATTTGAAATGACTACTACTGGAATTACTAATAATGAGATAGACAAAAAATTATTAGTCCATCTAATCTTGATCTCATCAAAAACGAATTATATCATTCACACTCTCTCTAACCGATCAACCCAACCCTCAAATAAGTTTTGAATAATATTGCTTACCAATCAATAATAATAAAGCGAGAAGTCCAATAAAAATCAACCAAAATTTCGGTGTCGGTTTCCCGTCCTTGATAATATTCATTCGCCACAAATCTCTCCAGAATCCAGCCCTTCCACCTCTAATGTAAAAATCCGATTTTGAGGAAACTACTTCTACATTACAAGTTTTCTCGTCACTATCGTTTTCATCGTTATTAAGTGGATATAATATTGAAGGTGTGTCTGGCAGTTCAACTGCCGACGTGTTTTTGTGGGCGTGGGAATCCGAAACAGTAACTAGCGAACTTGAAGTAAGTATCGAAGTAGAATGCGCCTCAATGTTGAAGTTTGCGTCGGTTGGGGATAATTCCACAGAGTGAATATTGTTATTAGATCTAAGAGAACTAGAGTGATAAAGCTTGTGCTCTTTGGACATGCCATTTGATATTATCGATGATATTTCACTATTGTCGTTACCATTACCACCTTTGTATTTTGTGTACGCTACACCCGATTCGTAAGAATCCTGGTGTTGATGTGAGATTGTAGAATATACAGAAGTGGGTGACGAAGAGCATGTGCTGCGACCATCGTCAATGACAGCAGAAGAGGGTTCGGAAATTCTAGATAGTTGCATCGATAATCTATTTTTGTTAAACAGTGGAGAATAAAATCCATTATCATTATCACTCATTATGTATGAATTGGCTCTCTATTTTATATTATTTCTATCTTCAACTTTTTTGCAAAGGCTTGAGAAGTGACTTGACAGGAAATTTTCTTTTATACTTGTGAGAAAAATCTCGGTGAATTTAGATCAACCAACCACCGAAGTTTTATTAATATATTAAAAAATAAAATAAAATGTTGGAATGAATTATTAATGGCCTATGCCCGAATGAAAGTGAATGAAGGGAAAATATGGCAGAGGTATATATATAAAAAAAAATATGGTGTAATAGAATAATAATGCGCGATTGTGTTTACGAGGAGGAAAGAAGGAGGAAGGAGGGATGAGGTTGGTAGAGTAGTAATGTATAATAAAGGGTAATTATTAATAAGGACAAAAAAAAAAAAATGAATGTATATGGGGCGATAATATAAAGAAAAGAAAAAAAAAAAGACTAACAAGTTGGGTGTTTGGTGTGTTCGGTACATTAAATTACTATTCTCACGTAAAACACCAATCATATGAACCCAATATATTTTATTGTTACACTACTTTCCCCTTATAACAAACAATTTACACGCGTTCGTACAATTTCGACGATTTAACCGGATACCTCCTCATTTACATACAAGGACCGTTAGATCCTCGGATCGGTCACGATACGTCAATAATTGCGTACAATTACGTACCCCCCCGGAGAGGATTAAGGCAGCGCCCAGAGAAAAATTTCCCGAGAACTCGCCCATTGAGCGAAGCATTGACTTTTTTTTAATATAAAGGATTAAGTAGAAATTTGAATTATAATAAAGTTCTAAAAATATATATACAAATTAAATATAAAGTAGAGTTTACGTGTGAAAAACAAATATAGTTATTATCTATACTTTGAATTCTACCTTATATATTTTCATATAAATAAAAAAATTAGATTTATTTTTTATTCTAATAAGTAATCTTTGTCTATCGCTTTTTTTTTTTTTAAAAAAAAAATATTATTATTATTGATAAGACACATTTTGTTTTTTCTTATATCTTTAAAAATGATTTTTTTTTTTTTTTTTTTTTTTTTTTTTTATTAAGTCCAACTGACGGACAAATGCTTTATTGAGTTTTCAGTAGTACA